GCACCAGGCAACTCCATCGCCTTTTTAACTCAAATTTCAGCTTCTCATTAAGGACTTTCTATTTAAAGGTACAACCTGTACCCCTTCTCCCCACATCTGTTCCCAGCTTGGTGCTTGTGATCTTCACCTTCCAAAGTGCTTATTTATTATGTTTATTATTTATGATTCATCCCTGTCTCCCTCTAACAGGGTGCAAGCTTCACGAAGGAAGGAACCTCTGTTTTCATGAATGTATCCCAAGCACTCAGAACAGTACCTGCCACATAGCAGGTACTCAATAAATGTTTGTGGAAAGAATTAATGATCTAGAACTCCTAGGTTCTCAACCCTTAGTCTAGCACTTTTCTCATGATGTCAGGATGCCTCTTAGCATAATGAGGTGAACATTAATAAAATTAGATCCTGGTGGATGGTCCCCATTAGTATTGAGGATGAAGTTAATGTTAAGTTGGAGGGAGGCAAATAGAATTGAAGGAAGGAAAGGACTAAATGAAAGTGAGAGAGGAAGTCAGAGACTAATGATTCTTAAAAATTAGTGTTCATGGTTGAACATTTGGAAATTAATTTTCAATTATTTTTATTGGCTATGTTGTCATTCCCATGGAATATGCTTTCCCTCTCTTTTTCCTTCCTTCATTCCTTCCTAGGCATGTAGTGAACACAGAATACTATATGCCAGGCCAGTTGTGTGTTGGGTTCTGGGGTTCCATGATCCCTGCTCATGAGGAGATCATTATCTAGTGGGAGAGCCAGATAGACAATTATGAGATAATATGATAAATATTAAGATAGAGGTGTAAAAGATATGCCATTAAAACAGAAATTTGCAAATAACACAAAGGTTTCTATTTGGAAGAGATAAAGTTTGGAAAGTCTTCTGAGAACATGATAAGATTTGAGCTGGTCTTTGAGGTAAATAAGATTTTTCCATGAGATAGAATGAGTAGCACAAGGGCCTGTTTGGGAAATAATAAGCAGTTGCACGTGCCTGGAGTATAGGTTATGACAAGGTGAGAATAGACATGCAAGTTAAGGTTCAAGTTTTAGAAGGTCTGGTTTGCCACGGGACAAGTGGAAATCATCAGCAATCATTACACATGGAGTTATATGGCCCAATTTGTGTTTTTTTCAAACAACTCCAAAACTGTGAAAAAAAGATAAGATGGTAGATACATTATAGGCCTGATTGAGAGCTAGTAAAATGCCCTGACAAGATACTGAGTGGTCAGCACTGGAACTTGACCCTGAGAGTTCAGATGAGGAAATTCAAGAGATAGTCCTGAAGTAGAATTGACAGGCTTTGTGATGAACTAAATATACTGGTAAAGAAGAAGTTGTAGTGAAGGTCACCCCGTGGGTTCTACCTTTGGTGAATGAGAAGATGACGAGGCTATGAATTGAGATTGGAAACACATTTAAAAGGAGTAGAGGGGATAATGAGTTTTGTTTCAAATGTAGGTTGAGATGGGCTATTATCCTGGTGTTGACGATCAGTAGGCAGCTGGAAAAAACAGGTTTAGAAATCTATTATA